CAAAATGTCTCAAATTTCATGGAAAACGCAAATTTAAATTTTATTCTGCTCAAAAACACAACATTTTTAGAGTTTTTGAAAAATCTGAAAATTTAAAAAAAATTCAAAAAAAAAATTGCCCAAATTAGGGCGATATGGGGCTCAAAATGTTCCAAATTTTATGAAAAACACAAATTTGACCTTTATTTTGCTGGGAAACGGAGACTTTTCGAAATTTTGAATATTTAAAAATCTTTTTTGGTCACAAATTCAAAGTTTTCAAATTGTTTTGAAAATCGAAAAAAATTGGAATTGTTCAAACTAGAACTATTGTTAGCGGTTTTCTAAAGAAAATTCTAAAGTTGTGAAAATTGAAAAATGAGGCGAAAAATCGGGGGAATTCAAAATTCCTTATCAATTTCTGACTCCTACCTCCTGCTCTTTGCTCTTTTTACGAAATTCTCTACAAACAAGAATCAGAGAACGATGAAATATTCAAAAGGGACACAAACATACACATGCTCGAATAACAATCACACAAAGTTCTGTGTCCCTTTCCACGGGACACGAAGGACACACGATGACAAATAGGTGGGTGTGTGTACCTTTAAAAATGTTTCTTGTAGTCTTTGAAGTTTTGTGATCTGAATTGGGAACATTGTGTCCGAATCTAGAGGATATAAATAGTCAGAAAATTTCAAAATTGGGAAAAAAACCATTATCAATTTTGTGTTCTTTATGAAATTTGGGACATTTTGAGCCCCATATTGACCCATTTTGGTCACATTTGAGTTTTGGGGCACACACGCAGAGGGGTACCCCTTGGAAATTCAACATTGGCCGAAATAGGTCAATATGGAGCTCAAAATGTTCCAAATATTGTGCTGAATTTGATTAAAACTATGAGAAATAGTGAAACTCAAGTTTCGGCGATTTATGGGTGCATTGGAAATTAGAAAATGTTTTAAATCTCAAAAAATCTTGGTTTTCAAGAAGTTTGGGACATTGTGAGCAGCTACCTTATAGTTTGTAGTCCATCTTGCCGTTTTCCTACACGTGTACCTATGGACTATCTATGCAAATGTATACTGTAGTGATAAGAAAGGGGGGATGTGTGTATACAATCACATCATTTCAATTATACAGGTTCTGCCTCAAAAAAAGAACCGGAAGGAACGAAAATAGAAGAAGAAGGAGGAGGGAAGAAAGGCAAATATTTTGAAGGCGTTTTGCACTCAAAATTACGTTTATACGATCTTTAAGTCTAAATTTGACCTCAATATTGACATTTTTGGGTTAAAAAATGGCAAATTTTGATCCTAGAACTCATTTTTTAGACCAAAAGACCAAAGATGTCATAAAATGGGTAAAACGAGCGGCTCGGGTGGCAAGAAGGGGGCTTTTTGACTAATGAAAAATGAGGAACTCGGCACTGTGCCAAGAAAGAGCGAGAAAAAAAAGATCGCCAACTTCAAGCCAATTTATCTCACTTCCTGTAAGAGATATCAAAAAGTAATCAACTAGCAAAATGTTTATCATAACATCAGCTACATTTTATCAATTGACAAATTTTTGATATCTTTCACAGGAACCGAGATAATTGGGTTTAAAGTTGAAGGATTTTTCTGCTTTTGAATTAGCTTTGACGTCCCATTTGGTTAATTTTTGTCTTTAAGATGGTCGTTAACTTTGCGATTCTCATAACCTAGCTAATTTTAGCTTAATTTTCTTAACATTTTGATTTTGAATACTCAAAGTTTCTAGTTTTTCAGCTTCAAATTAACACAACTAAATAGACAGCTAATAGTTTTGGAGCATTTTAAAATGGAAAATTGATATACTCAATTTAAGCTCAATTACCCCAGTTTCTGTAAGTGATATCAAAAAGTAATCAACTAATAAAATATAGCTGATTTTATGATAAACATTTTATCAGTTAACAAATTTTTGATATCTCTTATGGGAATCGAAATAATTGAGCTCGAAATCCAATAAGCGTTATACTAAGGGTCAGGGAACAATCGTGTTACCTTTGACTCGCTTTATCTCGGTTCCTATCAGAGATATCAAAATTTTGTCAATTGATTAAATGTAGCTGATATTATGATAAGCATTTTATCAGTTGATTACTTTTCGATATCTCTTCTAGGAAAGGAGATATATGAGCTCAAAGTTGAAGATCAAAAGATTGTGGGGGAGTGGAGTGGGCTATGAGAATTGCTAACTAGGCAAAACAAAGGAAAACGGGAAAAAAGTCCAAAATCTGAACTCAAACATCCTTATCTTTTAATACTGCGCAATGCAGTATAGGCTTTTCAACGACACAGATACACTAATCAATGATTATATACATGATAAATGAGATGATGATAATGATGGAGAGACGCCCAATAGGGGACACTAGATATCTTATCAAATCAGTCACACACACACTGATGAAGAATTTTAGTTGGAAGCGAAAAAAAAATTCCAAATTGAAAAATGGCTGGCGCCATTTTTTTTCAAGGCAAACTAAGTTCATCGAATTCTGGCGGTCAGGAGGTCAGAAGACGTTCGTCAGAAGGTCAAAAACGGTTACAAATAATCTGAAAAGTTCAAGAGAGACTTAAAAGAAGACAAAATTTCGAAATTTTGCCAAAAATTGAGTAACGTTTAAAGGAAGAACGAAAAACTAGAATACCGACTGAATAAGCCCTTACTTGCGTTTTCGAGCTCTATTATCTCAGTTGCTATAATAAATATCAAAAAAGGGTCAACTGGTAAAATGTTTATCATAATATCAGCTAGATTTTATCAGTTAACAATTTTATGATATCTCTTACAGGAAGCTAGAAAAAAAGAGTCAAAGTGGACGGACAAAAAATTGTATTTCAACTGCAAAAGGGATTTCTAACTTCTTGCTGAGAAAGATATCAAAAAATAATCCGTTGATAAAACATTGCTCATTTTATCAGCAATGTTTTATCAGTTAATAACTTTTTGATATCTCTTACAGTAACCGAGATAATTGAACTCAAAGTAGAGGCACTGGTAGCATTCCCACGAAACCTTATGAACTCCACTTCTAACTTTGAGCCAATTTATATCGCTTGCTAATGAAGCTATCAAAATTTTGTCAAGTGATAAAATGTCTATCATCTTATCAGCAATATTTTATCAGTCGACAACTTTTTGATAACTTTCACAGGGACCGAGACAATTGAGCTCTGAACTAGACGGTCAGATGGGACGGCTCTAGTATGAAATTCTGGTCCTTAAAAAAAATTCTGGTCCTTAGAAAAAATTCTGGTCCTTAAAAAAAATTCTGGTCCTTAAAGAAAGATGTGGGTATTTGAATAGCTTTCATGTTTTTGTTTGAAAATTTGGTTAGATTGAAACGTTTATTTATTCCAATCATGTTTTCAATAGTTTTGATGTTTTAAAAATAATTTTTTTTGTAATTTTGATTTTTATTCAGAAGAAGGTATAAGACTAAAAGGTGTGGCATATAAGAATTAGAGAGGATAAATAGTGCAGAACACAAAAAAAAGAATATCGGTTGCAACAAGATGATCTTATCCGCGTCCTTTGAACTTCCTTCGGCCGGTGAAAGTGGATTTTAGAGTAGTGGTTGTGAATCTTGGAGTAATGGTAGTCGATCTTGGAGTGGTGGTAGTGGGCCGCCCGCGTCTTCTTCTATCATTCCGAGTCTTCTGAGTGGTGATGGTTGTTTGTCTCGTTTCAGGGGCAGACGTCGTCCGTTTCGTACGAGGTTCTGTCGTGGTTCGTCTCGACTGATGGGAAGTTGTTCGTCTTGTTCTCATGGTGGTCGTGGTCCTCATGGTTGCTGTGGTTGTGATGGTGGTTGTAGGATCAGCTTTTCGACTTTGTGTCTTCTTCCGAGGTTTTCGAGTTTTGGTCGTCGTTTGCCTTGGTGTAGTTGACGAAATTGGTCTGTTGGTTTTGATAATCATTTCTGGCTTAGAAGAGGTGGTGGTTCTCATTGTAGAAGCGGTAGAAGAACTTCGACGTTCGTTTCTATTTCGATTCAAACGAGCAGCCATTGTGGTTTGTCTTGTTGAAAATGTAAAGGCGCGATTGTTTCTTTCATTTCGTTGTTTGGGAGCAAATGAAACTCTATCAGAATCGAACTGTTTTCTTTTTCTGAAGATTTTCGTGGTCGGTGCTTCAGTCAATTGATCTTCCTCTTCCTGTTCATCTTCGTACTCATCTTCCTGATTCTTTTCCTGCTCCTCATCCTGCTCCTTATCCTGCTCCTCATCCTGCTCCTCATCATGCTCCTCATCCTGCTCCTCATCCTGCTCCTCTTTTTGTCTCTCATCCTCGCCTTCTCCCTCCTGCTCTCCGTTTTGCTCTTCTTCCTGCTCTCTCTCCTGCTCTTCCTCAAACTCTGGTTCATCTTCGTTTTGGATATCGTCATCATCATATTCATCATAATGATCATAACCATCATAATCGTCATAACCATCATAATCATCATAGACATTATTATCATCAACTGTACTATCTGCTCCGTCTTCATCATCGTCGTCTCCATGATTCGGGTCGCTGGAATCGGACTCGTCTTCACCGTCGTAGTAATCAGAGCTTTCATCCGTGGAGATTTCAGATTCACTTGAATCATAGTCATCTTCTTTCTTATAATACTTCATCTCGATCAGAAGTTGGTTCAGAAGTTTTTTTTTTTAAGAAGTAGCGTCTAAACATGTATGTCGACATGTATCCGTCGAGTTCTTCTTCTGGGACGCCGTATTTCGCGTTGAGTTCCTTTTTGAAAGCACCCCAATCAACAACTGTACTATTTTTCTTATCTCGACTTTGATCGTCGTCTACATATTTCGAGTGATCTTCATCCTCATGTTGAGGTACATTGATTTGAAGTGTGTCCTTGATATGATGTTCGTAGTTTCTCGCCTCCACCTTATTCACATACTCTATGATCCGCTGGAAAGATTTGTTGTTCACTTACTAATAGTTATATCACTTACCGTAACTACATCAGCTATAACAGGAGAAGCTTTCACAAGTGCCATTGCAGGGAATC